TGGGTCTCTGGCAAGTCCACATGTCTTGCAGGCAGAGGCACTGTCTCTCTTTTCAGGAATGTTTATATAGTGACCTCCCTTGGGAGACAGATAGTGTCTCCCTCTGGAGCAAAGGCAGGTTTGTTTACAGTTCAGTATAATAAAGATAATGTCTCCTTCCGGAGCAAAGGGCAGAGTCTTATTTCCCTTTTAAAAAGATTGAAGTTCCCTAAACTTGGGGTTCCTTAGTTCTAACAAACTTTCTGTGCACACAGCATCCATCGGTGCTTCTCAGTGTCATCCTTGTAAGGCTGAGGAGACAAGTGGAACCAATGCAGACATGAAGCCCGGACTGTGTGTTGTGCTAGATGATAACTTCCTTCGTCTCTGGCCCAGGGTTTTTGTGTCTTCTGCCACATCCATGGAACTATGGCAGGCTAACTTGTTATCTTGCAAGTAAGGTAAAAACCTCTGACTCTTCACAGCTCTTGATGACCAGACTCTATCACATAGAGAGGATTTGAAAAACTCCTTATTGATACCACCTTTTAAAGTATATAACCATTTCCTTCCCTGTCATTCACATGTTCTAAGCCTATTGGAGCAGCACGTCTGTCTCCTCATGCCCCTTTCCCATCAGTGGTTTCTAGGCACCTGTTGAAAGTATGAGCCAGTTGCTTTTCGTTTCATTTTGCAAAGTGCTACAAGAAAGAGATGAACTCAGAAAATAAACTGCCAACTTGCAAGAAGAAGTGAGAGGGATGTAGAGAGCCAGAACTTGTTTACTTGAAAAATAAAATTATCTCCAGCCANGTGGTGTGTTTAAAGACATGCAGGAAGGCAAATTGATAGCCATTGCAGAGAGGGAAAATGAATGCATTTTTAAACACACAACACTAGAAACAAAAGTAACAATAAAGATTAGTTAGAAATACATTAGAAACAATGTAAAAAGGCCACCTCCTAGCAAATGCATGTTTTAAAAAATCAAAATGAGAAGCAATGAAGGTAATGGGAAAACAGGAGACTTCAATGTCATCTTTAATTACGTATTTTAAACATTAGAAAACCTGAGTAGGTCAATAAACAAAGAAAAAATTTAAGTAGTTATCAGTGCATTGTATGTCCTCAGGTGAGCCCTGCTCACTATGCATTCTTCCAGACTGGAGAAATACATTATACCTGTGGTATGTATATATTTTTGTCCTGCAGACAGAAAAGTGAATATACACTTTCAGTTTGCATAATTGATATTAACCTGACACCAAAACTTAAAAGCAGATATCAAACTATAGATTCTTAGTTCTCCCATGAATATGGGTGCAAACAAATCAAATAAAATATTAGAAAGTACAAATAATATGTCCTAAGAACAACTTACCATTGCCAAGTAAGATTCATCTGCTGAAAGAGCGGTTCCCATTAAGAAAAAGCTATACTACATACTATGACCGTAATGAGATCTGTTTGCCCCGTTGGTACTTTTCCACTATTGGGATCATGGAAATATGGTGTGTTCAGATCGTGCATGGCTTAATGGAACAGTCACTATCTGGAGGGGTGGGATGAGCCTGATTTACTTAAATGAATCTACACTACTGCTACGTACTGAGGAAGGCATGCAATGGATGATGAGGCAACCAAAATGTCTAAAATTGCTTCTTAGAAAAATAGCTAAATTTACTGAGCCTTTGTGATTAGCCAGGCTAATTGCTTTACATACATGTCAAGACCTATGAAGTACTATTATTCCTGGTTTATAGATAGGAAGCTAAAATACATTCAGGGAAGTAACTTACCCAATATCACAGCCAGCAAATGAAGCTGGGATATAGGCAGTCTTAACCAAAAAACATGCTTAACTATAGCACTGAAAAGCAAGCAGGGTACAAAAGTGTATGCAGTGGTTATAATTTTTTTAAGCTGAAATGAGTGAAAAGCTAACATTTACGTGTTGGCTTTTCACTGTTGCCTATTTTTCCGTGGTGAACATTTATAATTTTTTTTAATCTAAAAATACTTGTATATCCCCCTACAAGATGATAAGCTTTTTGTGCGCAAACCCTGTTTATTTTTGTAACCTCAAACCCAGCTATCCACTTTACACATAATAGGCACACAATTTTTATCCAATTGGATTACAACATAAAGGATTCCTATGTATGTCTCCTACTATAGAGCTTCTGTGAACAAGTCCATATTGTCTACAAATATCCTAGTAGTTGTTCAGATGCCATCTTTTCAAACTGAGGCCCTACTTAGTATCATTTTAAAAGATTCTGCGCATTTTAATTTCGATTTTATGTTTTCAGGTTTTTGCAATACTATTAGCATCTAAGTCCAAGTACATACAAATCTTGGTGATATTTAAAAATAGCAGGTAACATTTATTGAACTCTTACTATGTCACTCTTGCTCTAAGCACTGTAAACATTTTCCCATTTAACCATCATAACAGTTCTATGGTGTTACTTCTGTGAGGCACAGAGGGGTTACATAGCTTCTGCCAGGACACACAGCAAATAAATAATGGAGCTGGGATTCACACTCAGGAAATATAGCTGTGGCCTCATTTCAGTTCGCTTGGATGCAACCACTATTGGTTTGTTTAAGAATGAAGTTTAAAATTGTTTTTGTATAAATAGAGCACATAATGGAGACACAATTTTATTTCATTGTATGGCCCCTTGAGAAATTGGGGTGGAAAGAATGAAAAACAGCTAAGATGAGAAGTCAAGAAAGCAAGGGAGAGAAGGATTACAGACGGCAGAGAAAGAGGTGATGACTCAGTGGCTTTGGGGTCAAAGCATTGGTTCCTTTTTTTTTTACCTTGGTGTACAAGTTCATTTAATATGTTGAGCACCTATGTACTGAGTGCCAAGGACACCACGGTGAGAAGGAAAAGCTTCCTTGCCCCTATGTAGCTTGGTCTGATTATGATGTAGTTTGAAATGGCGTAGCATAGAATTCCCGTTTTTCTGTCCCCCTTAATTTTTCCACACTTGATTCTCTTTTTGTTTGTTTGTTTTACAGGGCCTTTTTTTTTTAAGATTTTTATTGGGGAATTGGGGGAATGGGAACAGCCCTGGGGAATTGGGGGAAGGGGAACAGACAAGTTGCTGTCGTTTTGTTCTTCAGTCTAGTTGTGGAGGACATTGCTTCACTGGCCCAAGTTGGCAC